ACATGTTGAAAGTCATCGCATGAGTTGTTTTTCTTAGAAACCTAATTTCACATTTAAGTATGAATATATTTTTTTTTTTTTCGGACAAGCCATGGCCCGCGGGACTGAGTCAAGTTTGGAGAAACTGGAAACCCTGCTTTAGAAGAAAAGATACAAACTAACTACCTGTTACCGATTATCGAATAAGTATGTGTAGAAAGAATCGTATTATAATTTTTAAAAAATAATCCGATATAATAGCTTAACAATTACAATGCACATTAATTAATTTTAACCAATCATTATTTATAAGGAACAAGACACTTTCTGTTCCATCAATATTCTATGGAGGGGGGGCAGCCGTTACATTTATTTAAAGTAATTCATAAAATATTTAATAAACCGAATAAATGATAATTATATTGCAAGCTGGCCCTACGAATAATTTTCATGATATATTGCAGAGAGAAATGATGAATGATTGAGCCAGTTCTTAAATACGGCTGCGAGAGAAATCCTCCGAGGCGACCTCGGATCAGAGTACTAACGCATGGAGGAAAAAGGCCAACAAAGAGCCGCTCACAGAAACTGGTGAATCAACATCTCATGATATGATGGCAAGGAGGTTAATACGGGCGGAGAATATAGCCCGGAGCAATCCATCTGGAAGCCTCTTCACAATCAACTGAGATGCATTCAGCTAATGACAGGAAAGAAATATGCAAAGCATCAAAAGAGAGCGAGCAATTAATACTGTCCTCCTTGCGCCATTACCACAGCTCGTGCAAGCAAAACCTGTATAAAATGCACTTGGCTGCATCTTAGAGACAAATGGTCTGATTTGGATTATCTTTCTCTGGGAAGGAATCTGGAAATATTTCAAAACCGCAATCACATACATCACCATTAAATGTTTTGCTACCATTAAATAATTAACTTTTTGAATTATCCGCAAATAAAATTTTCCCTTCTTAATAACTGCTTCCTTGATTTTTCTTCGCACCTATGAAGAATTAATGAAAATATGGCAAACTGGCGAAAACAACAGCTTTGAGAAATGATATCCATGATATGATACAGATGGTAAACTGAGCCACGAGCTCATCCACCATCCATAGCGTTCTGTTCCCTCTTCCCTTCCCGTCCATTGTAAATTGTTATAATGTTTCACCAACCATCGCCCCCCCCCCTCAACTATTCCCTAAGTGCCGGCGCCGATGTAACCAACAATACTTTTAAATCATCATGACAGATAAACTTGATACTACATAATACATCAAATGTTTGTTTAAAAAACAAATTAGTTATTTTACTTTTCCAATTACGAAGCTTAATCTTTTTTTTTTCTTATATTATCAATTTGAACTCGACAATGCGCCAGATACCAATTATAACCTTTTAAGCAAAAATTATTTCTAAAAACCAACCTTTGATCAAACAGAGCCGAATTTAGAAAACGTTAAACAAAACATTCGAAAATGGTGTTTTCAAACGATCTAAAGAAAGGAGAGGCCCGCAATACCTATTTATGACTACAAGAGTACCATCCATCTTGAAACCATTGGATATAATTAAACAAAGAGATCGGATATCGATAACAGCTACACAAATATTTAAAATTGTTTTATCTCAACCTTGAAGATACCACAACCTCTTAAACGGGAATGACCCGATAAATCAGAAATTAAATGTTAGAAGAATAAAAGAAAGAAACGCTAAATATTCTCAGAATGGATTATAATCAATATTACAAGTTTTAAAAACTTTAGCAAAAAAAATACAAATAAGGTCATTTTCTTTAACTTGCGATGGTTCTATTCACAGCTATGAAATAATAGCGGCAGCTCCTGCTGGCGAGATATCTACATTAGGCGCGGAGGTCCCTCAACCAGCTCCTCTTCAGTCTTCAGGGTTCTTGGGCTACCATGGTGCTGTTGTTATTTGTTCTGAACGATTTCAAGTTTTTTTTTATTTCAGGTCAAATATAAAAACTATTTTGAACAATGTCAGTAGATTTTCGTAATAGTAGTTCATATTTTTTACGGCTGAATTATTTGCTATATGAATAATAACATCCTTTCTCGACTCTAAGAAGCGGTAGATTTTGACAACTGGTGTGAAAAAAGAAAAATAATTTCACGAAGGCATGACGAATTTCAATTCCAGTTTCAATCCTTAAAGTCCAATTTAACTAATTTAATAAAAGTAGGACTTTTCATAACTCCGACGTTAGAGCGCGCATCGAGACGGGCAGGTTGTGTTATGCCTAAGGAGCTGTAACAATATGGACCGATCAGTATGATGTGTATGAAGCAATCCTATGAAGTAGGGCAGCGCTACTTTCAATAAAGTATTTCTCTCTTTTTCAACTTCAAGACTTAATTTAGTTGCTACGTTAAGTTCCTGAGGGCCTAAACTGTACTCGAATGTACCGTTCTCGAGATAACACGTAAGGTTCCTAGTTGCCAAGGGGAACATATAAGAAATGATCTGTTTTTAAAAAAATAAAATATTTCTACTTGTTCATAATTTTTGCTATAAATTACATATATATTGAAAAGGTAAGCAAAATAACCAGGGAGCCCTGAAGCATTGACATGACCTTCAAAATGGCATGGTTTAACACAGAGTTGGTTTGATTACTTCTGAGGAGCAGAATATTCAAGATAGTAATCAGAAATTAATTATTTATCGTAATCAATAAAATGTTTTTAAATCACTACAAAACGGTTTTTTCATTCACTGACTCATGAAGCCATTGAAAACACTTCTCGTGAGTCGAAACTTTGTTGTTCCTAAATAACTTCAACGATTAGGTTACGTCACTGACCATTTTTAGATTTTTTTGTTTGACGGCAAATCATATGAACAACGTCAATTCTAATTCATTATTACTGCAATAAAATAGGTAACTCAATGGGAGAGGCACAGACTTCCTAAGCTGAAGGTCCCGGGTTCTAATCAGGCTGAGGGTAAGTGATTAATTACTTATTCTGTACATCAGCCGAGAATCGACCGTGTTCGGGAAACACTCTCGTGTCACACCTACCCTCCATAACGTAGGTATCGTTAATTAAATAATTAATTAAGAGAGAAAACGTGAAGGTTGAGCGCGATCTCAGTCCGATCACCTCCTCACACAACCATTGGCTTTGACACAACAGTAATTCTTTACAAAATAATGTACCCAAGAAGACCTTGATGGTCTGTAGTGGCACGTTTTTATTTATATTGATGCAATGAGTTGTTTCTTCATCGTTTGAAAATTGCATTTGGACTGAACTGTTCATGACTTTATCGCTGACCCGTGTTTATACACCTTTATTGTTGAACGCAAGATTTGCTACAGCAGCAGGGACATTTATTGGTTGTTTTGAGTGGCGGCCACCTTGTTTTATTCATTGTAAATTACAGGATTATTGTTTATATATTTTAAAAGAAAATGTAAATGGTATTAATAAAAAATATATAAATATACGTTTAGTGATGAACACCTTTCTATTATTTCTAAGACTTAATGTAATATATTTCAACAGAAAAGAAGGAAACATAGAAGTGTAATGAAAGTAATTAATTTTGTATAAATTTCTTATATTAAATTAACACATTTTGAAATTAATTAAACGCGATATGGGTTACGCTTAATTATGTAATAAGGTAAATGCAGTGTTACGAACAGTTTCATCAATTTTGTTTACTACCAAAGAAAGAAAAAGAAAATAAGACAATATTAATGATTTTATATCCATAAATGAAATATTATTTTTAAATAATAATTATTATTATGATGTAGAGATGGTTGACGGTGATATAATATGAGAAGGAGTTGATCATTATAGAAATAGTATTATTTAATTCTTTTTCCGGCGTTTCGTTTCGTTTTTCCGGCGTATGATGTTGCACTACGGGAGGCAGTTTGAAACACCGACGATCAACTCCTTCTCATATTGTATCACGGTCAACCATCTCTACATCATTATGAATGCATTACCGGCCAGTGTTTCAACTGCCTCTCGCAGTACTACATCCTACGCCCTGCTGAAGATCTGCATAGAGGGTCGAAACGCCGGGAAAAATAATTATTATTCAATTTTATATCTATAAACTCTTGTTAGATTTTCAAATATTCATATATTTAAGAAAGGAATTATAAAAGTATTGAATTGAAAACCGGTCTACCTGCAGCGTGGTACGTAAAACAATTATGACTATTTAAAAAAATACAATATAAATTACTACTTTCAAAGCGATCATTCATAGTTACAATTAATTATAAAATAAGGATATGAGGAGTTAAACTATTATTATTGGATATGAGGAGTTAAACTATTATTATTGGATATGAGGAGTTAAACTATTATTATTGGATATGAGGAGTTAAACTATTATTATTGGATATGAGGAGTTAAACTATTATTATTGGATATGAGGAGTTAAACTATTATTATTGGATATGATGAGTTAAACTATTATTATTGGATATGAGGAGTTAAACTATTATTATTGGATATGAGGAGTTAAACTATTATTATTGGATATGAGGAGTTAAACTATTATTATTGGATATGAGGAGTTAAACTATTATTATTGGATATGAGGAGTTAAACTATTATTATTGGATATGAGGAGTTAAACTATTATTATTGGATATGAGGAGTTAAACTATTATTATTGGATATGAGGAGTTAAACTATTATTATTGGATATGAGGAGTTAAACTATTATTATTGGATATAAGGAGTTAAACTGTAAAACTGTAGATGAAGCGATTGCGGATAAAGGTTACGTTAGAGATACAGAGGCACACTGACCGGCGCCAACTTGCCCGCGACCTGTTAGCTGGGAACTCCTGCCCTAAGGCTTATCATGTCGTCCTTTTTGTGTTTTGTTTTTAATATATATATATATATATATATATATATATATATATATATATATATATATATATATATATATATATATATATATATAATGAAATAACCAAATATTATTATTATAATTTAAAAATAAGAAAAACGTACCTGAAACTTCAGATATCTGACATCGGGGTGAATGCTGCTTCAATCCTGCTCGCCCGCGTCTTCACGCATCTTCAATTGCCGACCATCACAGCACTGCTCCATACACTGTAGGGTCGGTCCTGGACAAAATATGAAAGCAACTATAAGGAACAATATTTAATATATTACACAACTATAAGGAACAGTATTTAATATATTACATAACATTAATACATTTCAGTGAGAAAGTTAACAAAAACAAAAACAGGTTATATTGAATTAATTATAAATTAAAAAGGTGAGAACTGATTACAAATGGGAATGTTTTTCTTGACAAAATTATAAACACCTTTCATCGCGTTACTTCATTTCAATTTTGTAATTTTTATGAGAAAATTCAAAATTAATGACTTCAAAATAAAAACTTCAACTTAAACTATATTAGAAAATCTGACTTTATTGAATTTCGTTATATCAATGTCTTTAATATCAGCTCGATTCAACAAGGAAACCATATCAAAATAACTTCTGTATAGCATCTGGAATATTTCTCAGAATTTACTTCTTCTTATTTATTTATTTTTTTTTTGTTTGTCCTTCCTTAATAATTTTCCATGTTCTGGAGGAACGGAATAAAGGAAAAATAAACTGTAATTTTAGGAACTGGAAAAAACAACCAAAAAAAAACTAGGGCTTGCATGGAGTATTATTCGAGCACACTATACAGGATCGCTACGGTCCATTCTGGGCTTGCGTCGCATTATAAGATAATAAAAGCCGAGAAACATAACATGGAGGCTGTGGAAGCGGAAAAAAGAAACGGGACCAAGGATTTGACCTCAATGGCTGCATTTCTCCCAGTTTGAGGCGACTTGCCTCTTTGTCATATTCCATATCGGCGGCCCATCTGCAAGGAACCAATCTGAGCCTGCTTAACCTAATAAAATGGTTACTTTAACATGTTGTCGATGATATCACCTTTTTTTCGTACTTTAGTCAGATTGTATGAAATCATTAGGTTGATTATCATAGATAGAACTTTAGTCGAAAAAAAAAATGTATTTGTGGGGTAAAAAAAAATTGTTTCTGCTTTGTGGTTGCTTTCAACTTAATTACGCCAATAAAATAAGGTAAAAAACGAAGTACATAAATAAAAACTATAATAAATTCATTAGCCAGATGCTTTAAAATTTACACAATATAACATTTTTAGGGCGTTTTCAATCAGGACGATATTTGCTTTCAACTTGATTTTTTTATTGCTATGAAAATTCGTCTTTGGTTGTTTTACGAGATGCGAAATTCATATTTATACTTGGTATCTCCTTAAAAATATATTTGAACCCACTCTGCTATTTGGGTCGGTACAAATTGTTCCATTTCAACATTTTACTCGTACGATAGAAATATGTCAAAAATAAATTTGATCCAATATAGCTCTCCTGAGTAATATAAACCTAAAATAAGTGTAAAGAAAAGTGAAATAAAAATTAAAATATGCAGTGAAAATATTTGATAAAGACATAACTGTTATCGATTTCGATGATTTATTTTACGTTTTGTAGGGTATTTAGTAAGCTTTCAAATACTCAAGTGTATAATGTACCAAAAATTGGGTACTTTTCGAGTTATTGTCAAATTATGAGTTCATTTTTAACGTCTCGAAAAACGTCACCGTCATTTTTTTTTTTTTTTTTTTTTTTTTTCCCCTATCTCGCCTTTTAGGCTATACGGGATTTTCCCAGGCCGGGGTGGTGAGGGCGGGGAATTTAAAATCCCCTCCGGCACCGGGACGCGAACTCGTACTTTTTATATCATCTCAAATCTCTGTTATCCGGTTGCCAGGCAACTAGCGGTGCTGTTACAGACGCTTTAGCCTATTCGGCCACCCCGCCCCCAACGTCACCGTCATATGGTTTGAAACCTCATACTTTTATTTAAGTCCGGGTATAAAAGTAGGAATCAAAATTACGATCCGCGCACTCTACGTGATATCCCCTTTCTATTGATACCTCACTGGTCAAAATCCATCACTAGTCAGAGCCGGAAAAGGGATATATATATTTGAGAAATAATATATAAGAAGAACATTGATTAAAATTCACACATCGATGATTTGAGACTGTATTGACGTGGACGCTCCCTACAAACACCTGTCTGAACCTCTCCCCCAGAACATTTGGTTCGATACGCTTGTGCTTACAAACCTATCTTCTCGGAGTCTTTATGTTTTTATCAACGTCAGCAGGTTTCGAACCCCACTGCAAGAGCCGTAAATACCCCTCCACAGTTTCTAAACAAAGTTGCCGCTACATTCAGTTTTTTCTCTTTTCCTCTCCACTTTGTTTGTATCACACTTTGAACACTGAACAGCTTTAGAACAATTTTTTTTTTTCCTGCTAGCCAATGTGCTTCGCAATAGGATTTATAACGAGACTATTCACAAATAACATTCTTCATATCATTAGAAAAAATACAATATGGATTAGCGATACAGAATTTTATAAATATACAAAATATTTTTTATTATTTATTTAATGAAATTTACAACTGTATAAACAATGCAACTAGTAAAAATGCAGACACATTAGCAATCATGGAATGAACAGACTTGAAGAGATACTGCCCAGCGGTAGCACTCCCTATTTGATTCTATATGAGAAGATCAAGAAGACCGAGGCCATCTTCTTTTCAGACGCCCCGAAGTTTTAACAAATTTGGACAAGTTCCTAAACTCAGCGCTGAGCTCATTGATTTTGCACAGTTTAAAGAAGAACGCTGAATTTACAATACGATTAAATTTCTGCGATGTACGAGTGGCCTTGATACAATGTACTTTAAATCAATAGCAGAATTAGGATAGATTTAATTTTTTTTTAGATGACAATTATTTTTTTTTAGAGGTAGGTGCTTTTGGATATAATTTTTTATATATTCTTTCTTGACACTTCGCACTGAAATTTATTGGCTAAACATGCGTTATAATTTAAAATGAGAAAATATTTTAATTATTTGGTTTGCATCACTCAAAAATAAAAATGGACCAATAATTTTTTTTTTTTAGGCGAGAAAAGCAAGCTCACCCTGAAAAAAGCTCTTTTCCTCTTAATTCCGATACTGTTCATTCATCACCTATAGATTAAATTAGACAAACCGATGTAATTCTATTATTTTACCAACTTTTAATTGGGATAAACTGTCTAAAACTAAAAAAAAAAAATAATAGCTGTGAATTTGGTTCGTAGCAGTGGACTAATAGAACTGACATTCCTCGCCCTCGAGAACATTTTTCAGCGATTTATTCCACAAATAAAAACAGAAATTTATAAAATTCTTATTGAGAATTTTTACCCTGTAAACCTAATCAACAAATTATGGTACAGTCGATTACAAAATACAACACTAAACCAAAATGATAATAAAAACAAAAATCAAGTAATCCACAAAACACCAAAAAAAAAAAATACAACAAAGAAACCAACATAACAATTCATCGCACAATTTTTTGAAAAAAACAAATTTAACAATCGAGAACAATGAAGACAATTCACAAACAAACAAAATTAAATACGTGTTTAAAAATTATGACATACCAGAAATCAAGCTTGGGCAATACAATAATAAAAAAACTGGATAGGTACATAACCAATACAAAAGACCGAATAGATTTATTACACAAGAAAAATATAATTTACAAGTTAAATTGTCAATACTGCCCCAAAATCTACATTGGGGAAACATCCAACCACTTAGGGACCAGAATTTCACAGCACATTACAACTGCAAAAATGCAAAAAAACATAAACGCCACAGCTTTAGCACAGCACAGCATAAAATTACAACATAATTTCACTTTCAATAAACCACAGAAATAAAGAAATGAACCAAAACACAATAATAGAAAATTACTTGAAGCCATCCATACCACAAAAAACAATAGAACAGCAGTAAAGTACAAAACAGACACCGAACATTTGGGGACACACTATGCTGACTTATTAATTTAAATTAAATATAGTAAAAATGAAATGCAGCTAGATAACAAACAATTATTTGACAAAAAAAGTAAATAAATCATATTCAAAGGTGAATAGTATCCCCCGTAGCAGGCACCCGATTATTGGTCTACAGGAATTTTTATATTGTAGATATTATAACTGTAATTTATCTATAACATAAATTTAAAACATGATAAGGAGCACATCAGACTTTAGGAAATTACAAAATTTATGCATCAACACAACTTTAAAATGTACTGTTACATTCACTATTTTTTAATTAACTCCTTTCAAGCCATGAATCGATAAGGAAACAGGGGATTGTAAGTCCTGAAGATGGGAGTAAATTTCCCGAAGCGTTAACATCTAAATTCAACAAACAAATCAATTTGGAAGTTATCAAGTTATCATTGCCGAAAACAGAGAACAAAATAATAATTGTGAAATCGGTAAGTAGCCTTGGACTACTGGAACTGACATTCCTGCCCTGGAGAACGATTTCCAGCGATGGACCTGGACAAAGAAAGGCCACCGAATTCTACCTGGGCTCACCTGGGGCACGCCCCTCCTCTTCCTCTTTACAATGCTAAATTTATGTTCCAACATTTACTAAAAATGAATAGCTAATTTTCATTTAGTACTTTAAATCATTTATTAAAAAAAGGAAAAATATTTCCCAAGTTTGATAACGAAGTTTTGGGAACAAGATTAGTATTAAAATAAGTGGATGATATACAGCTGAAGATAAACCAAAAACTCTATAAAGAACCCTTTAAAACATAAGAGAACATAATTACATATGTTTTGAGAAAACTCAATTCTTTTTTTTTTTGTCTTTAAATCTTTATCCACACCTGTCATGGTAGTGACAATTAGCAGATTTGCTGTCAAGTTGAAAATGGCATGATAGGCATGACGAAGAATGGAGCCCAGCAGCACCTCTTCCCTGGCCTGTTTACATCCTAAAATCAGGAAAGGAGATCTCTCATCCAGCTCCTTTTCAGTCGCCTCTTGATGAGCATTTCAGCCGTGGCCATGTCGTTGATAAGTCCATTGTGATGTCCGTGTAGTTTTAGATGAAATTTGGAATAAAGAGTACGTATGTTCTGGTCAATGGTTGGTTGTCTTAGGTCGGTATGTAA